GTGTGTGTGTGTGTGTGTGTGTGTGTGTGTGTGTGTGTGTGTGTGTGTGTGATCTTACATGTTTATGAAGAAAAACTCACTCAATGTTCAAACTGAACTGAAAATTATTATTTAAATATAAGAAATCCAAAATCTGAATCTGTTGGTGTTGTGAATCTTATTTCTTATCATGTTATCTCTAGTTTCTCCACACACATACTAACAGTTTTTATTAAACACACCGTTTTCGTAATAAACCTGAAAAATATATTTGTATTGTTCCAATGAGAAGAAAGAAAACCAGCGTAAAGCTGCAGAGGAAGCAGCCCAGTTCACGTCCAACACTTCCAGGATTTGGTTCCTGTCCTCTCATACTTTTTCTGTCAAAGGAACAGAAGTCAGAYGTCAGGCTCAAAGGAAGAGGGGTCAAAGGTCAGGTCCTGTGGGTCACTTTGCTCAGGTTTAATGTGAACAAATCCCAGTTTTCTGCCCAAAACAAAAACCAAGAGAAAGGGAGCAACATGTATACAAAATGAATTATTATAAACTACATGTTTAATTGAAAATTCACGTTAGTTTCCAAGTTTTAAAGTGAACGTGTGAACAGTTACATCAGATAGAAGGTGAAACAATCAAAAGTGCATCAAACAGTGGTAATAAAAATCTGTGCACCTATAATTTAACATTAATTCTCTTAAAGTTCTATTTTATTTCCTTTACATGCTATAATAAAACAAATCCTTTAAATTATCTGAACCCAACCAAAAGATAAAATATCCAAAGTTCACAAAGAATCATCATGTTGTCTTTTTTCATTAGAAGCATCAAATCTAAAACAGAGGTAGAACTATAAACCAACTCTTTCCTGCTACAGGAAAATAATATTAGAGTAATTCAGCTGATATAAAAAATGCAGAAACATGATATCTGAGTAGAAAAAGGGTCTCTGCAGCATTTCACTGTCATCACAGTTGCATAAATGAGCAGGAACAAGACAATGAAGCTGCAACAGAAATCCTTAAAACAACACTTGTATTTGTAATAAAAAAAATCTTTTGTTCCCTTTCTTCACCCATGAGTCCCACTGATTCCAAACAGAGTCTTAAATCAAAAAGGAAATGATAGTTAGTCTAATTTAAAGTCAGCAAAAGAGTGCAGGGTGCCGGTGGATCCTCTACAGAGATGTTTCAGATCCTCGGCTCCTCCAGTAAAATGGATTCTCATCATCTGGGTCCATGTCGATCCGGATCTGAGGCACAGACTTCAGTGGAGTCAACTCAGGGCTGAAACACACACATCTGACGTCAGGATGCACAGAAACTCTTCTGAAACACATTGTTCAAATTTCAACTGATTTTCATCTTGTCAACAACGAACTTGACGTTTCATGTCTAACGGAGTCTAAAGGTGAATGAGCATTCACATCTACCCAACAAAGACAACATTATTCAGTAACATCCAAAATCTTTAAAAATTTAGGTCTGGATTTTCCTGGGGCCATATTCTTTTTTTCAATAATGAGCAAGATAAAACACTAAATCTTTGCTTGATGATCACTAACCTAAAAAAAAGTTATTTTACTATTTCACCCTGGAACCAGTTAGGATCAGTTTGTGACATTTTCATTTACCAGAGAAATACAACCTGAAGTCCGATTCAGTTTTATTCTGACATGATTATTTTGACTAATTTACACTTCAAACTCAATGAAACTGATACAGACCAAGTCAAACATTGAATCACAGAATGAGTCACAGACTGAATCACAGAACGAGTCACAGACTGAATCACAGACTGAATCACAGAATGAGTCACAGACTGAATCACAGAACGAGTCACAGACTGAATCACAGACTGAATCACAGAATGAGTCACAGACTGAATCACAGAATGAGTCACAGAC